CTAGAATTACCTCCAATGTCTTAGCAATGAATATTCTGCCTTCCACTTGAAACTTGACTGATAGCAAGACTGCAACACCAGTGTCCAGCAGCACAGCTTGGTCACCAAAGGAACTTCTTCTGAAAGAGGGTGAGCAAAATTGAGAGAATAAGCGAAAATACAGATTTAATGACAAAAGAATACAAAGAGACAGACAGCCAGTAGAAACTTGATCCCATGACTATTTTTAAAAACACATAAATAAGCAGATATCCTGGGAAAAATTAGTTGAGGTCACCACCACCAAGACAACTGAATGGATGGGAGCAAACAGAAATGTTTGCTCTGCTGAGATGTTTATTTTTCGCCAAGTCTGATGTGCTACAGAGCTTGGTGAGGCATTAATTCTCAGTTGACTAACAGGCTTGGCATGCAGAAAAATCTATTCAATAAGTATGTTTAATTGATCAAGCGCCCAGTTACATTAGGTGAAAAAAAGTCATAATTTCCTCCCAAGCCTGGCCAGCCCGTGTGTGAGCAGTAGGAAGAACTGAATTCCACAAAGGGAGCCATGGCAGCCGCGTGGATGCACTGATCCATGTTTAATCGTGTCTGTGAAGTCAAATGTGTCTTTTCTTGGGTGCAAATTGTCCTTTTGTGATCAATAATGAAACCTACAAGGTCTCTTCCAACTATTTTCAGTTTTCACTTTGAGTTGCAAAAAGTACCATTTTAGCCTAGAGCAGACAACAGCTGCTGTTTGTCCCACGTCCCCAGAAAACCTAAAAGAAGCCTGCATGATTATTGTTTCTTGCAGACAGAATGATTACAGAAGTCTGCTTAGGCTCGCTGAAGAAAATGGGCCAATCTTACAGCATTAAAAACCTTACGAGAAGTTCATCAGAGTAACGGCAAAGACTCATCACAAGAATACAAGTGTGTGCACACACACATATATGCATGTGCACACACACACATATACAAGCACACACATACACACAACGACAGCATTTTGATTATCTGCATATTTTACTATCTTGGGGAATAACAGATGGGTTAATATGGGAAGTACATGTAAAATATTTATGAAATGCAAAGTAATTGAAATGATAAACTCATCAAACAATAATTTCTCCTACTATATTCAGCAGCATATGCAAACAAGGGAGAATTTTTTTTTTACATAATCAAATACAATGGCCAAAGCCGCAGGGAAACAGTAAAAGGAAAGCAGTGGAGATCCCTTCAACACACTACAAAGAGTGTGGAGGACGTTCCTGCAGGAGGAGTCTCAGGGGCTGCCGAGTTGCTGTTACTGTGTAAGGAGATCTAGAGTCCTGTATTTTGGCAAAGGGTGCCTCCTTTGATATCCTTATGGAGCAGAGGCATGACTCAGAGTTCTCTGTGAACTTCCATAACGATGGCCATGGGATCGAGAGCTAGTGAAACCATGCAGCCAGCTCTCCGTGCAGCCATTGTATCTCCTACTTAGTCAAATGCTCCCAATTGATAAGAAGTTGGAAAGCAGAGAGACATGAGAGAGTACTTCAAGGAACAGAGGTCCGTGCCATTCCACAGCAGACTGGGAACATCAGAACAGCTGTAAGAAATGGCCTCCAGGAGAGTCTAGAGAGGGCCTGAGACTAGTCCACGGTAGACAGAGGTATCTGCCTGTCAGACTTTGTTATCCCTGAGTTCTTCCCACTCTATATCATCATCCCTCTTCAGTCTCTGAAAAGGAAAAGCCTGCAAAGAAATAATAAAAACCTGATCCTAGGAATGATAAAGGAATTAGCCGAAATGTCAAAGGCAGTATGCCTGTTGTTAGGAGCTCTCACCTTGAACCAGTTCTCTGTGCAAGGGTAGTCGTTGCCCTGGTGTGACTGGGGCACAGAAGAGTGCACCTGTCCTAGTGAGGTTATTACACACCTCGTAGGTGTAAGGTCTTCCTCCTGAAGACTTCCACTGATCTCACGCTGAGAAACGTGAACGTTTATGGACTCCCCCGGGAAACATTTACGGGAAGTCTATTCATGAAATACACTGGAGATTCATAAGGAAACAAGTAAGCAGGGCTGCTTAATTTCTGATCAATAGTGAAGAAGAGGGAGAGGAGGAGGAGTCTGCAAGCATCAACTGTGGAGGCCAGAATTTTCAAACTGGGTGATATGGCAGAGAGTTGCTGAGACTGGGCTGACTGAGGACCATCTTAAGGGGTCACATTCCAGCTGTGGGTGACATGACAGAGAGTTACTGAGACTGGGTTGATTGAGGACCATCTTTTTAAGGGGTCACATTCCAGCTGTGGGTGACATGAATGAGGCCTGTGATGAGCAGAGAGATGCTCCTGGTAGAAGCCACAGCTATGGTAAAGGCACAAAGTTGAGAAACATCATTACTATTTGGAGAACAAAGCAAGGTGGGGGGCAGGAATATGCAGGATGTGTAAAAAACAGATCGGAAGGCATAGTCCAATTAACTGAGATTTCTAAACCCAAGTTAAAACACAAAGGGGATACCACTGGAAGTGTCTAAGTAGGTGGCTCATATTTCAAAATGCAGCTGCCCCTCAGGATCCAGGGACCGGCTTGAGAACATCCTCCTCCATGAGTGGTCAAACTTTCAAATAACCTATGCATATCTCCAATAAGCTTCCGATCATGTCTAGATTTCTTACCATGGCTAACACAATGGGACTGCTATAAATAGTCATTATATTGCATTATTTGTGGGCTAGCAGAAAACTTCTGAATATGATCAGTACATATTTTTTCCTGAATGTTTTCAATCTTTGGCTGGTTGAGTCTGTGAATGCGGAAGCACAGATGTGGACAGTTGACTGTATTCTTGCTGCTGTGTAGGAAACATATGACCAGAAGAGATGTAAGTAGTATCTACCTCTCCTGAGAATCTCCATATGCAGATGATTAATAGCAGCTTGCCCAGGGTCAGACACGCCCAAGGGGTCATAGCTGGATACACAGCTAAAGCTAACTGCAGCTGATGGGAAGGTTGCCATGGAGAAAACAGGGGGAAAAAAAATCAAGCATGAATTTTAGACTTCTAGTTTAGGTTTACTGAGGAAAGGAAGACTAAGTGGGGAAAGGCTATACAAAATCAAGAGTTCTTTGGACACCAGTTTGAAATGGCGACTACATATTCCCATGACAACGTCATGCAAACAGCGAGATACAGGGCTCCGAGAGAGCTCAGACTGAGTGGTGCAGAGTGGTCCCTCTGCTCCCAGTGTTCTGTGTTTATGGCTTCATTGACCTTGTTCGTTTACTTGACCAACTTTTACCGATTCGAGGATTTCACAAAGCATATGAAAATAGAGAATAATTAAACTACTAAAGGGCTCACATTCGGAATCATCATCATAACTACTTTCCATCAAATTTTGCCAGGTATATACTATGTTATTACTATCTCCACAGCAGAAATTTTAGGAAATTTATCACATGTCATCCCTTCCCTCAAAAATTATAGTCATTTGGGAAAGAAAATTCGATAATGTGACATATGCCAGTAGACAAATTCTGAAGAGATAGAGGCAGGGGTTCATGAGTTTGAAGTTAGTTGAGGCTACAAAGAAAAATATTTAATGTGGTCCATTTATGTTAAAAGGTAAAAAAAAAATCTATCAAAGACTTTGCTTTTCATGTGACTCCAGTCATTTCAATCTACAGCCTACTCAAATTACTGAATGGAAAAGCTTCAGGTTGGCTAGTGGTGGACCTGCTACAAGATGCCAGTGCCCTAAATATGGTGGTCGCTCCCTTAGAATGCTGCATAAGCTACAGTCTCACTATTCGTTAACTCCTTTGTGTGCAGAGAAGTTCCTATACAAAAAGTAATTTATGGGTCAATAGTATCTGTTATCAGACACGAACACTTTGGAATGAAATTAGTTCATGTCTTTAAGGAAATGGAAGACAGTTTGTCACTTGTAACCAGGCTGTGTTCTGGTGATCCAGTTCCTGTGGCAAGACTATATGTTAGAATAGATGGAGAGACCTAAAAGGTGGTTTAAGTTCATTTTCATCATCTTGAGCATATGGTTTCATCCCAATGAAGAATGAGTTTCCTGCTTATGTCCTCATTCCATGAAAAGATATCAGGTGTAAAATAAATATAAATCCTCTGTGGACAAACTTCACATAAAAACAAGATAGTAATAGGTAGAAATTGTGTCTGAGAAAACCGTTATAAAGAATGACTGTGCCGGGCGGTGGTGGCGCACGCCTTTAATCCCAGCACTCGGGAGGCAGAGGCAGGCGGATCTCTGGGAGTTCGAGGCCAGCCTGGTCTACAAGAGCTAGTTCCAGGGACGGGCACCAAAGCTACAGAGAAACTCTGTCTCGACAAAAAAAAAAAAAAAAAAAAGAGTGACTGTACACTGCTATGTTACACAGGCACCATGGCACTGAGACCACCGTTGTCATAGTGATGTTACTGTCACTTTCTTTGGAATGCCTTCATTTGAGGACTTGTGAAGGAGCCAAAGCTCTCAGCACTCACTGGTGCCCGTGTCCTCAGAGTCTGTGCCACACCAACAGGGAAATCACACCAGCTTTCTAAGTCAGTAGAGTTCACACAGGACCCCTGGGACCAAAGGATAGTCGTTCCTGATCAAAGGTCAAAGTGAATTACAGTTATTGAACAGAAGAATTTAATCACCTGTAAGAAAATTATGGGGCCCTTTGGTTCATTCAGAATATTTGAATCATTTTAGAGATTATGCAATTAAATTTTCAATCCATGAGAGATTTCTTTCAGCAAAGATGATGCTTAAAGATCCCCTTTCCGAGACGTGTGACATGGGGAGGCACATTTTAGGATATAAACTAATGAGCAGAAGATATTTAGAAAGTTTGTCTACTCTGTCGTAAGTCAGTACGCATTTTCCAAAGCCTTGTTAAAATGGGTTTCGATTCAATCTTAACTCAGTGTCTGGGAGTATTGATGCCCTTAACTGAGTGTCCTGCTCAACTCAGCCTCTGTGCCACTTTGTCTTGCAGCCTCCGCCAGCACGTACATGCCGACGGTGTGCAACGGAAGGGAAGTTCTCGACTCCACCACCTCATCTCTGTGAATGTGATATGCGCATCAGTTCGTACGTTCTTAGGCCATTAGCCCAAGCGCTCACGGGCTGCCGCAGAACACGGGGACAGAGCAAAAGAACAACCCTGGCACCTTTTTTTTTAGAAACAGTACAATAAATTATTTTTGAGGACTGTTCAGTATCTAGTGATGTCCTACGACTTTCTAGGCTGATTTTAGTGCCCCTAATAACACCCCCTCCCCGAACATGGAAATAACCATTGTTTACAGAGCTGAGCATTGGTGAAGGGTCCAACAGGGTCAGTCTACTAAAACAAAACAAACAAAAAACCCTACACGGTGGCAATATTAGGTAACCTTTTTCCTATGACGTCTTTTGTAGGTTCTTGTTGTAACTAATTTAGGGTGAGTTTCTACGTTGTATATTAAAGTTACATTATGTGTAACAGATTGTTTTTCTCAGTACAAAATAAAAAGCATCTGTATTAATGTAAAGATAACCAGAATAAAAACCTTCCAGGTTTTCAAGTATGGTGGATAAAGGTTTGTCCTTTTGGCTCACTCAAGGTAATTTGAATATGTAGATTTCAAGTCACCTTCTCTTGTTAATGCTGGAAGTAATCGTCTCACTGTGCTTTCTCCACAGTCACATTGGAATCGAGCTGTGGCCCTGCTAGAGGGCCGTGAGTGGAAATCTACTTTCCTACAGATGACAGTGATCAGAAATTGGCAAAGGGTGACACCGTGAATATAAGAATATAAGACTATGGTGATATATACATAACATCTTTTTAAAGCTATGACTATATAATAGGCAAAATCTGCTGAATGAGGCAAAGTCTCTCATACATCCTGAGTAGAGGGCTGTGACCTATCAGGAAAAGTCTGGTGGATCTGACGTTCAAAACCAACCATTATGACTAGAAAAGAAACCAGAAAACCTCTAGTAACTCCATTGGGAAATCACTCTTGCCCTTTATAGATGAATGGAGAAGTAGAACCCTGGAGATCTTACTTCCCATTGCTCTCCCAAGTCCTATGAATGATGTTCCAGCACATGGACTTGCCATTAAATTTAAATATTTTACTAACCTACAATAAGGCATGAACAGTATAGGTAAAACTTTAGTAAATACTGCCCTGTTTCTATCAAACTTTTACTTGCAAATAACGAATGGAAAAAATATTGAGAACACATCTATCTGTAGAACCTGTATCATGTAACGAGGGCAGAAAGTACATTGATTTCCTGTGATAATGGGGAACAAAATGCTATAAACTATGTGGCTTAAAACAACAAAAAGTTATTCTGTCACAATTAAGAAGTAATAGGAACAGGCTGCCTTATAGACTTAAAGAAAGAATTCACTCCATTCTCTTTCTAGCACCTGGTAGTTGCCCACTTCCTTGGCTTATGGACATGTCGTTCCAAACCCTTTTCAGTCTTCGTACCATCTTCACCACTGTGTCTGTCTTGTCCATTGTCTTCAAATGTCATGTGTCACTAGGTAATTGAGCCACCTAGATAACCCAGGATACTGTATCTGCAGAGGCCATTCGTTTGGTTTTGGTGTTACTGATGGTGTTGCTGCTGGTAGTCATTTTGGTTTTTCTGGTTTTAAAATAAAATCGCATTCTCAGGGATCAGGGGCTAGGGTGTGAACATATTTCTGAATGCACTATTTAGCTCACAGCAGAAAGATCAATGAGATCCAGTCTATCTAGTCCCTGTCATTGTAAAGCACACACCAGAGCTGGGGATATAACTCGGCTGCTAAAGTATTTGCTTTGAGTGCATGCGAAAACATTTTAAAAGTAGGACTTGTGGTCAGAATGACTGAGAACGAGAAGAATTAAATATATGAGAAGCAGTATTTGAAATAGTAACACATAATACTATTTTTAATCTATCTACAAATAGTGAACAGTGGCATGAAGGCCCAAAGGATCGGCCTTCAAGGAAATAAGATGCTAGACAATCTTCTCTCCTGCATGCCTTTGAATGGACAGACTAAGGAATCCAGCTACAACCCACCAGATGCTTAAAATAATGGTACCCATCACTCCCTGAATTCTCACTTCCATGGGTACCTGAAATCTGGGAGTGACCTAGGGTAGGTGAGTAACAGATTTAAAGACACTAAAAAACAAAATTAAGTTCCAATCTGAGTGCAGTTGGCAGGAGACCCCGAAGAGCATGCTCAAAACCCCCATCTGCTGGAGATGACGGCTGAGCAAGGCTGATGACAGCGAACAAGCTCTGTCCACTGGTAGACGCTGACAGTCAGAGAAAGGCAAGATCAGCTGGGCTGTTCAGAGGCCCAGCTGATGCCTCTAACAATCAGGCCGACGGTGGATCTTAAGGCGAGACCATCAGGGTGGTGTCTGAATCGTGAGGGAAGTGGTTTTGAGGCTGGGTTTTGAGCCACACCCACTATATTGTATGCCCTGTCAGAACACAGAAAATGCATTAACAGGAAGCTCTTGTCATTTTCTCCATGCTTCCTACAAGTCTTGTTTCTAATTAGAAAGTGCACCATCTAACATATGATCCCTAGAAATAATTTTTATAAACATCCAACACATGTATGAAAAACAGATGCTATCTTTTCTATGCAAGCCATCTTATAAAAAATTAGGTTTGGAAGCTTTTAATTTTCTATATCAGTAACAACATTTTATCCTTCCGGAATGTAAAGCTGATTGATCCATCTCTGCAAAACTTTTCAAAATTTAAGAATGCCAAGCTAAAAAATAGGTCCTATTCATAAGAAAAAAATTAGAAGCTAGCTATCTGCTAGCTTGTCTTGTGTTTCTGAAGTTACTGCACTCTGCATCCTCCCTAGCTTAAATATTAATAGATTGTCCTGCCCACCCGAGTTTAGCACAGTGGAGGAAAGTCGTTCCTGTCTTAAAACTGCTAGGCAAGCTGGTTCCTGGACAACTCGGAGGGCAGATGTGAAGAATGGCTGAGACAGGTAATCTCTGTCTTTACAAGCCTCGAGTTCATGTGTTCTCTCAGCTAGTCCTTGCTCTATCCACAGGCCCATCCTGATCGTTTTAAATTCCATAGCTTGTCCAAAAAAGAAGGAGGAGGAGGAGGAAGAGGAGGAGGAGGAGGAGGAGGAGGAGGAGGAGGAGGAGGAGGAGGAGGCAGCTGTGGGGCCAGGGCTGAAAAAAGCCACAAAGGCAGATTTGAAGTAGACCCCTGAGGCAAAGGTGTGCATCCAAGGGTGAGGCAATCACCCAGCCTGCTCCAAAGCAGCAGGAGGCTTGGGTTTACATAATTCTTACCGGTTCACTCCTTTATTTGAAATGCAGCTAGTAGACTTTGGAAATCAGTTAATTGACCTAGAGGAAATAGTACCCAATATACTCCATTTTCATCAAAACTCATAAGCTATTTTCAAAGGAGCCTCCTTCCAGAACTTATTAAAATAAAGAAAAATTCAGCTAACCAAGGTCTTAATAGATACTTCATTCAAAGAAACTGGAGGTGTTTGCTGAACCAACAATCATTAAAGGACAACCAAATACAATTTTTAGTTAAAACAGGATCTAGTAAATGGGTGAGCATTAAGGTTCTTGAACACGTGCCATAAATAAAGCAGGGAAGCCTCCCCAACATCTCATGAATCCATGCTATTTTGTATGTCAACATCCCATCCTCAGAAGATATCTCCTACCTATCAATATGAGAACATAAAACGAGCAACACCTCCCACACTAACCAAGCAACTGATTTTCATGGGGAAAATAGAAACACATTAGCCTCTCATTAGGAATGACCCTGAGCCATAGGAAACACTGTTACCAAAAGACATCAAATGACGCTGGCCAGATGGGACTTAAAGAAGCCAAACCGATTGCTATCCACCACCTGAGAACCCAGATGGCGAATCACCAGACTCAAGTAATTGTTCCACGGTACTGACTGAAACCATCCTTTTGGGGGTATAATAAAGACAAAAGTCTACACAAAAGTACTATGAAATGTTTTTAATCCTAAGAAGGATATGATTATTAGTAACCAAAAAGGGAAAAGGTCAATAACAATAAAATTCAGTCTTTTAAAGCAAGTGAATATATATCAAATTGTTCTACATTGTTAAATGGCATAATAGAACTTATTCATAGAACACATGTTCTCATCCAGTGGGAAATTGACTTCAAATGATGTCTTGGCACAGTGCTCAGAGATGTTATAGGCAACAGTTGACTTAATGCTTAAGTACTTAAGTATTTGAGGCTCCAAAGTATGTTTTTTAGAAAAAACAAATCATGTATGTTTCTAGCACTCGTAGTAATGAGGGGAGCACATGCCAACTGAAAGTCATAGAAACATAATAATTTGCTTATACCTTTCAACATTTCACTGGGCTTATCAAAGGCCGCACATAAAACTATGCAGAGTTGTAGCACTAAAATTGGTCCTTATATTCCCCCAATAATATTCTCTCTGTCATTGTTCTTCAGCTCTTAGAATAAAATGACAAGCCAAGAGAATCCAAAGGTGGGGCTGAGCTGACAAAAATCTGTTTAATATCTAAAGATAGAAATAAAATAATAACTTCTTCGATATCAACCGCACTTTCAGAGAGTTCATTAAAATTTAAGGCATTTTCGACATGTCGGCAATTTTAGCCCAGTGACAAGCAAAGTAAGAACTACCTGGGAGCAAATCCCAATTATCTTCATGGCTTGGAACATGCATGTTATTATCCCTATGGCTTGAAACACGCATGTTGGCACAGCGGAAGATGGTGCCGGTGCCGGTGACGGAGTGCTCTGACTCTGTCCAGTGTGCACATTTTCACCAGCTTCCTTTGAAAGACATTTCAAGTGTATTTCCACTCTTAGGATTAAATTTCGATTATGAAAGGGGAACAATGCCAATATTCTGATAGTGGGACAATAATGAGCGGAGTCAAATAATTTCTTACCCAGAAGAATATCCAAGAGATTAAACACAAGAAATATGCTAAATAACATTCTCCTCAATAGTAGACAAACAATACAACATCATCTACTTCTATATTTAGTAGTAGACACACACATACACACACGCACCATTCTTTTAGTGATGGCAAAAGGGTCTAGTGTTTTACCCACTGACCAATAAGCACAATTATTCATTTATTCATTTTGTCTCATTTTTCACAAAAATAAGACTATATTACCCATGGAATCAAACATTACAAGTCACCAAAACACCTCGAGCAAAAACATAGTTAAAACCTTACCCGTGGGCTTTGCCTCCTTCATCCAATTGAAAATCTTTTTAAATTTTTGGATTAAAATCTGTAAATAGTATGGCTTACTGGAAACAAAGTAGAACATCTTAGACCAGCAATGGGCAAGATACTCTCCTCCTTCCCAGTGCTAAGAGTTTACACAAAATTGATCAAATTCACCGTCAACCTTTTTCCAAAAATAATATCCAAGTCACACTAATACTCATAATCCATCATAAGAAATACCACAACTTTCTAGGTTGCTTTTGAACAGGAACAATACGCACTTCATAACTGCTAAGAAGATTCTTACTATGAATACAAAGATATGCAGTTTTCGAATATTGAATTTCTTCCTTATTGGCTTAAAAATAAAATCTTCCAAGTAATTCATAATTTTCAAAGTCTTGTAGCAAAGGAAACTTGTAACTAAAGTTCTGGGGTCCGCCTTCTGTGAAGAAGAAGCCCCATTGCCATTTGTGGACACTGTGAGCTGCCCAATCAAGCACAATTATCTGTCCTGGAGACACGCCAACTTCCTCTTCCTTCTGTCTGTGCAGGCTCTGATAAACAAGGTATTCTACTGCTTTATTACTCAGCAACACTCAAACTGCTTTAAGCCCTCTAACTCCTGATCATGCCAGACTGCTTGAATTAATGACATGTTGAGGTTTCTCTTTGGATTTTATTATCTCTCCCTTAAGATTCCTTCACGCAATTAGTTAAATTCTTCATACAAGTTCCTACAAAGGTGGAATTTTGAAAGCAACAATCAGCTTTGATAACCCAGGTAAAAATCTTCACAAAATATTACTGATATCCTAGACTTTTGAAGTCAAGAGAAAATATCTTATGAAAATTTATTGTCTTTCATAGTTCATCATTTTAATAGAAAAGATGTTTTCAATTCTTGGAGAAATAAAGGGAAAATAATTATAACATAAAAGTTTTTTTTTTTTCAAATCTTCCCCAAATTACAAGACCAAGACATGGGAACACAAGACATATGCTTATGTCTGCCTTCCAACATATATTTTTTTATGTAGACATTATAAAGAATTAAAGTTACCCAGTAATTATATGGCATGCATCAGCAGTACATTGGTGGGCTTGAACTTGGATTTTAGTTATGTGTATATACAGCTAAATCTCTTCCTGAGTTAAGCTTCATCTTCAGTGAGACCCAGAACATGTCTTCTGTAGTTCAACAAAGTATGTGACGATTTATAAGGCAATCAGCATGTCTGCCTCCTCCTCTCTGTGGCACAGCCCTTCTGTGACATCACAGACATGACAGGTGTCAGGACAAGTCCTAAGAGTGGTCCTAAAAGATTAGGTGTCCTCGCTCTTCAGTCTGAAAGCAGAAGCACTGTCTCTTCATATATTGGGGCATCTTGAGGACTTCAGCTGAACAGATTCAAAGTGGTCATCTTTTTCCTAAGGGGGAAAACATAGTAAAATCAGCCCACTGAAATGCCATAACGAAAGTTCCCCAAACTCCCTTAACCTATGAACCTGCCACTTACAATTAGGGTTTTACATTTAAAGTAGGTAGAAAATACAACAAACAGCAAATCTACCCTGAAGGACAATTTTGATGCCCAAGTGATAAGACAGACAACTCCAAAATAGAGACAAAGACAAGATGGAGCAGATATCAGAAGATGCAGCTGTGACTTCTCTGAAGAAGGAAACCGCCGAGACTTCCTGAGGACACTCTCGACCTTGGTATGAAATCAGTGACATTGACATGCTAAGTGTAGGCAAAGTAGAACTGGCAGACATAGGTGGTGGCACAGACTGAATAGTAAGAAAAGTAACGGCCAAAATGAGTTATGTTGATCTCTATGTCTTAGGGGAATCTTTTGTGAATGTGCATCAGAGAAATCATATAAGGTAAGAGACCAAATGTCTAATTCAAACATGCTATTGCTGGTGTATATTATACTCTCACAGAGGAGACTAGTTTTTAATGTGGCGGAAGAGAAATAGGAGGTTGAATATTTATGGATGTTTTAATCATTAAATATAGAATAAGGCTGTTTTAAGTCTTGTGGAATAGGAAGAAGCTCTTTTTAAAACAAAACAACAAAGCCAGCCAGGGTTAGGCTAAGCCAGGTGAGGCTCAACTGGGTAAAAAGACTGGCACCAAGCCAAGCAGCCTGTGTTCAATCCCCAGAAATTACATGGAAGGAAATGAGGGAATGCCATTTGTCTTCTGACCTACACACACACACACACACACACACACACACACACACACACACACTATGACACCTGCATAAATAAATAAAATTTACAAAAGAACATATGGATTGAGGTGTAACTCAGTCATGTGGCCCCCCTCCTAGCAGCATATATGGAGCCCTAAATTCCTCTTCTTAGTTTGAAGGGAAACAAGAAGGGAAGAAGAAAGGAGAAAGTGAGAGGAAGGGGGAAGAAAGGAAAGAGGGATGGGGAGAGGGAATGGAAGGCAATCAGCTATCAAGTCCCAGCTGAAAATAGAAATGTGATAAAAATTAGTGTTCTATGAGAAAATGATGGGGAGTAGACAACGACGAGCTGACAGAAAGGACCTTGTCTTCGGTTTTACCTGAATAATACCCAGTGTATTTCAATCACAGTCCGCATTGGAACCCACTACATTCCCCTGCTTTTCTGGGATGATGAGCCTCTGAGATAGTGGGCTAAAGTCCTCAGTATTTTTGGACTAATTCTTGTACTAACTCCTTAATAGCCTGCCTGCAGTTTCATGTTTGTCTTTAGAATAACTATGAATAGTTTGAATTTATTAAGACCTCACAGCATTGAAGGACAGGGCTACACTTTAGGGATGCACCTGCGT